GGAATGACTCCTAGAAAAAAAATTGAATCGTAATTTCCTGTCGATATGCACATCTATGTAGTATGTCCTTATTATCTGAAAAGGTTTCATGAAATTCTGTTGTGTGGTTTGAGAGGAGTTGCGATGACAAAAGGTTGCAGTAGTATATTGGGCAAATAAGTTCAAAGGGGCGTAACTCCTGGAAAAAAAATTGAATCGTAATTTCCTGTCGATATGCACATCTACGTAGTATGTCCTTATTATCTGAAAAGGTTTCATGAAATTCTGTTGTGTGGTTTGAGAGGAGTTGCGATGACAAAAGGTTGCAGTAGTATATTGGGCAAATAAGTTCAAAGGGGCGTAACTCCTGGAAAAAAAATTGAATCATAATTTCCTGTCGATATGCACATCTACGTAGTATGTCCTTATTATCTGAAAAGGTTTCATGAAATTCTGTTGTGTGGTTTGAGAGGAGTTGCGACTACAAAAGGTTGCAATAGTATATTGGGCAAATAAGTTCAAAGGGGCGTAACTCCTGGAAAAGAAATTGAAACGTAATTTCCTGTCGATATGCACATCTACGTAGTATGTCCTTATTATCTGAAAAGGTTTCATGAAATTCTGTTGTGTGGTTTGAGAGGAGTTGCGATGACAAAAGGTTGCAGTAGTATATTGGGCAAATAAGTTCAAAGGGGCGCAACTCCTGGAAAAAAAATTGAATCGTAATTTCCTGTCGATATGCACATCTACGTAGTATGTCCTTATTATCTGAAAAGGTTTCATGAAATTCTGTTGTGTGGTTTGAGAGAAGTTGCGATGACAAACTGTTGCAGTAGTACATTAAGGTAAATAAGTTCAAAGGGGCGTAACTCCTAGAAAAAGAATTGAATCGTAATTTCCTGTCGATATGCACAACTACATAGTATGTCCTTATTATCTAAAAAGGTTTCGTGAAATTCTGTTGTGTGGTTTGAGAGGAATTGCAATGACAAGAAACAGGACTGACGGACTGACGGACTGACAAAATGACGGACTGACGAACAGACGGACGGACGGGTCAAAAACATTATACCCTCCGCAACTCGTTGCGTGGGGTATAATAATATGCACATCTATATATTATGCACAACAACTGTGCAAAATTCCATTGGGCGATGAGTATTCGTTTATAATTATTTTGTTGTTTTTGGAAAAGCCCTGTTCAGAATACAATGATTTTGAAAATAATCATATTGAACTTCAAAATAAAATATACTACACCTTCCTACCATACTACCTTCAATATCTAGATAATTAAGTAGTAAAATATTTATAGAAAATAACTGAAGACAAAATAATAATGTTAACAAGGTTCTACATTTTAATCCTTATGTTGTCTGTTTTTATACGAATTATGATTATATCATTGGTATCTTTCCCTTTTTTATTAATAAAAACTTGTACCAATGTTTTTATGGCCATCTTCGTATGTTTTAAAGAAATATTGAAAATGAGAGAAGAACACCTGTCCCACTAGCTATATATTGGCAGGATTGAAGCAACAACGGTGCTTTAATTTACTATACACAGTTTCTCTATCTAAATTTGTTTTTAAATGTTTATTGTTTATCTAGATAAATTTCAAGACAAAAGCCAAAATTAGAAAAATTGGTAAAAATTATCATTTAACTTATTTAAAGTCATAAACTCCTATAAGGTGTCATCTTAAAAAACAAATAGTAGGCATATATATATTGATATTGGACATTGTTGCCCCAATCAGATCTGTTCTTATCTATAATGGTTTACAAGAAAAAAGACTATATAACAAGAGTGCACACGCTTAAATGTCTCGCCTGTTTTACTTATCATTGAATTTATGTTGAAAGTCTGTAACATGGAGGTTTTACTATAAGTATCACAAAAAATTAACATTATCAATGTTCTATGATAATGAGTTCATGGTCAGATGAACCAGGCCAGACAGACATGTACATCTTACAATCATTCCATACACCAAATATACCTGTTGCGTACAGTATCTGATAAACTGTCAAAATGAAGAAAAATTAACATTGACCAATGAACCAAGAAAATGAGGTCAAAGATTAAAGTTAATCAACAATTGTAACTTAAGGGCAATAACTCTTATAAGGAATTTAAATGTCATCTGATAATTTTGATGAAATATTAAGTAGGTCATTTTGACAGTCTGGGCAGATTTTCTCTATCTATTTAGGTTTTCAAGATATAACAAAAAAATGCATTTTACCCTTAAAGCAGGGCTTCCAAAATTTTGTTGAGCCAGCCGGACATTTCATATCTTATCCCGATTTTATATCCCTTTAGACTTAGTAAATTAGGCAACTATGATAATCAGTTGGCCATCATATATGATATAACCAATGGCAATGATTGACATTAAAACAATGTTAAACTTTACTTTGATATAAATTCGATGTTCTGACCACAGGCACTTGTTTCTATCAATGGGAAGCCCCACTATCAACGTAAATATACGTTGATAGTGGGGCTTCCCATTGATAGAAACAAGTGCCTGTGGTTCTGACGTAAAGTGTTAAATTGAAAGTGCAGCATTCGAAGTGTGCAACATCAGCGTACTAATTCCGCTTTAGACTCTTTATTTGTGCAAAATAATGCTGTCAAAAGCTTTACTTTTGTTTTTAAAATCACATTTTCCTAATGCCGGATGTTGACTTGACAATGGTAAATCAAGGATCAGAGACGGATACGTAATATCCGTGTAAGTTTACGATTGAGTTAAGTAGCCTTTTCAAGTTATTTCTTCAAGAAAATACTCGAAATGAACGTTAGATAAAGGAATCAATGATAATTTTAGCATTATTGAAGAATTAGGATGCATAATTAAATTTCCCACCAGCGGACAATAGACACATGCGCACACGTGTACCAGTTCAAACAACGTGGTTCTGACGATTATAAGTTTAAAACCTTTTCAAATTTTTCATCAAATCATATTTATTCACGTATTTCTTATAATTTCAATCTTTTAGACTAAATTAATGAGTTGTAACCCGCTGAAATGTAAGAAAATAACTTTGAATACCCTTTAGCGTACCCCAGTATTTAACACGATGTACAGTGTTTTTAAATATAATAATGAATATCATACATATTCGAATTCATTTATAAATATTCTTATTTGAAAAATTATTTTAAAATCTAAGGAAATTTTTTTAAAACTGAATGGTCATTTACAATAATATCTACAAAGCGTAATTAAATAGGATGTTATTCCATACACGCTTACATGTTTGACCTCGTTTACCTGATCACGTTTATGTTCATTGTTATGCATCATCAATTCTATTGATTAAGACAAGCTAAGGTCTCTCATCAAAGATAATGACCTGTAATCAGTGAATGATTTATGGCTTCAATATTACTTATTGAAGGGATAATTGTTTGACAGCTTGTTGTTTTTTAAATAAAAGAACAAATTTTTTTTCTACTTTTTATTGATGTACCAAGCCGTGCATTTGTGTACCCAGAGGATTAGACTAACTGAGACACTTCAAAGTATGAAATATGCTGCATCTGTTTAATTAAACCCAAATATGACCGAAATATCTTTGTGAAATAGATTGCCACAATTATAAACTATAATGCCCAAACGGACATTTTTACCGATCGATAGTTGGTAAAAAAAAAGTGAAATGACCGTTTTATGAAAATGCCTTGAATAACAAAAAGTGGCAAACCTATGATATTTGACCGTATGAGGCTGAGAGCAGCCGGACTTTTTATATAAATTTCGGTCAAGTCCGTTTTGGAAGCCTTGCCTTAAAGTATATTCGAAAAAATGGCAACCATGATTCATTTTATTGAGAAATTAGATTTAAAAGTTTGACAGAAGATACCCTTAAAATCATACAGCCAAAGTTTGGTTAAAATCTGTCTTATAGATTCAGAGAAATTTTTAAAAAGTTAATTGCAAATGGACAATTATGACTATGCTAAAAAATTAAAGCAACATGTCATAAATTTCATGCGTCCGAAGCACTTTTCTGAATTCACCTTCATTAGGAATGCTCAAAGCCAAATATTTGAAAGCCACGGATGTTTAAGAACCGAAACAGTTGAAGAGCTATATTACCAAAAAGGACCTAAAAAAATAGCCAAAACCATCTAAGGTCAACTTTGCCTGAGGGAGTTAAAACTTAATGATGGTAATGGCTCACATGGTCCTAATAAATAAAACGGATACTAAGAAATCTAAATATTTCACAGTCTAAACAGCCTTTAAAGATTTTAGGAGCTTTTCAGTTTAGTTTTTTTGTTTTTTGTAGGGATGTCAGTGAATACCCTAAATAAGAACAAATTCGTTGCACCCTGTGTTGACCCAGAGAATGCTTAAAGACATCAGTAAGTTCTAATCATCACCCCTTTGTTGGTCGATCAATGTGTTACTTTACGATTCCTTAAAACTGTTGTATGAGTAATCATTTTTGTATAGATGTTTATTAATTAATTGATTAGATCATTGACAGTTAACATAATTATCATATGTAGTAAATGAGCTATTAATAATGGTATAAACTTCCTTGGACAATAAGTAGTCCTAGGTAATAATGTTGAGGGTTTTACGTCCACAAGACAACGTCCCACAATACGTAAAATGGGTATACTTTTGTGTTTCCATTTTGTAGATGTTTTTCCGAGCGAGTACTCGAGTATCGCTCGGTAAATCCAACGAGTACTCGATTAGGAAATCTTCACAGAGTTGACATCCCTAGTTTTTTGTAATAAGTTCAAATGTTTTGTGTTGAACCATTTTTTTTTAACGTAGGTTAATATACGAAAAAAAAGCAACGATAATTGTCATTAATTTACTGCAAGTGAATCTCTTAACTTTGTCTTCTTGAGGTAAGATCATATAAACGGTGTTAATTTTCAAAGCTAGTACGAAAAATATTTTATGTTTGATGGATCGTATATTTTATCTTCTTCAAAAGACTACCAGACATATATAATTTTCCCCCACTTTGAAATAGTATTACCTGTTACAGTTTCTACAGCTCTCAGTGTTTTCGGATCAACATTCTTTACAACCTCCTCTAAACACCTTGCACCTTTTCTACTATTTACCAAAGCTTGTTCAAGGACACGTATTGTAGGTCGTACTAATCTGTCTCTCCTCCAAGTAAATAAAACCTCCTTACTCTGGGCAGTCAAGTCACAATTATATTTGTCTATATTCTCTAAATCTGCTATGGACAATCCAAGTTCTGTTCCTAATTGAAAGACCATTTTACCAATCTGTGGTGATATGTTATCTAATATTTCATCAGTTGGAATTGAATCTAAGATATCGTCTGGAATATCTGTATGAAAAAGATATGTATTATGCTTCCACAAAGTAGACATTAGGTAAACACTTGGTGGAATTATTTCTATAAAAAAATTACGAACACTGGAACCACTAAAAATTACTTTTTTTTTTAAATTGTTTTATGTAATAATGCTGCTGGCCTATTCCACACAAGAAACCTATATATATATATATAATTCTTAAGCATCAAGTATTTTCATTAAATCAAACCTGTGACCTTCCAGATTTAGAAACAATGTAAACAATATCTGAAAATGTATTCCATCTTTCCTTTGACTTATTTACAAAGTTGGGTTCAAACTGGCAAACAGGTTTCAAAGAAGAAAATTTGACTTCTCTAAGGTGTTTTAAAGGAACATGTTTGGTCCTCTAGCCATCATATATAGGAGCTCGAATCAAAATAATTGGAAGGCCAAAGCAAGTCCAACAATGAAGAGCATTGATTGCAAAGTAGTTCAATAAGTTCTAAATACAACTGAGGTCATCTTTGCTTTAATTGAAGTATAAAATATAACTCAGTGACATTAAAACTTTAAAAGTGACGTGTGTTCAAAGGGTTTACTTAATAACATAAACGGTACCAATTTTTCTGCACTAGATGAGCATTTCGACGATGATGTCTCATCAGTGATGCTCGAGGTCAAAATATTTGAAAATCAAAAGCTTAATAAACTGATTAACTTTCATCATAAGTCATAAACAGTAAGTTTACATATAAGTAACTGTATAAAAGATATTACACGTCAACAATGTACCTGAATGTGCCATCATCAGGAATGCTCAATTTGAATCATTTGAATGTGAGAGATGTATATATCTGCATAGAAACGTTCAGAACTCTATAAACATAAACACAAAACTTAACCAAAACCATGCATGTGTAAAACAAAGGTTAAGTAACACCTACATGTGTGGACATATTGCACCAAATGACGAGCGATCTATGATTTGTAGATGTTTGACGATCACACGGACAAACCACTTAATATCCTCTTCAAATCTGCTTGCTGAGGTGATAAGAAAAGTACAAATAATCCTAAGTAGAGTCAGAGAAGCCCTAGATCATGTAGATATGCCATTTAAAATGTAAATGTCTTTATAGTTCTAACTACTTACTAGATATCACTTGTTTTCTCCTCCTCATCTGCAAATGAATAATATCAGACATTAAATTGTTTCAATGACTAAGCAGAAACGGCTTTTGTGTATTTTACACAATGTTTACATAAGACGATTGTCAAAAGATAAGCTAAAGGAAAACAAATCCGAACTTGATCAATCCGAAAAAAAACTCATTTCAGGAATAAAATCATTGTTTTTATTTCAATTCTCCATTCCCCCTTTTAAACAAGAATTTATATTTAAACATGTGTTTAGAAGACATTAATAAATGGACTGTGCCAATGTTTAAAAATGGTTTCAAAATAAATGCATTGCTGTATTGAAAACAACAGCTGTGCTTCTGTGATTTTGTCAATTGTAAAAGGACTTCCGTTTTCATTTTTCTTGGAGTTCAGTTTTTTTGTTGTTTTACTTCTTAACTTATTAGTGGAGCTTGAACCAAAATCAATGATAATCAACAATGAAACTGAAGATCATTACAAACCAAAATATGAACAGGTTGTGTAAAAGCTATGTCATATATGCCTTCTGCATTTCAAGTGTTTTTAATCCTTTATGGACAGTAATTTTATACAACAGAACCGCATTAAAGATATGTCTGTCACCTCAGGATCTCTTTCTATTAGGCTGATAAAACCATATGTTAATGCTCAGCCCAAAATAATTGTATAAAAACATTCTGCCAAAGTTTGTAAAAAAAATGAAAACATATATTTAAAACAAAAAGTGTGACTTGTGTCTCCAAGGATTCAGTATCGTTTGACTGCTATCAACTTTTTTCAAAGCACTTTAGGATAAACGAGGTAGATGATACCAAAGCAACATTCAAAACTTAATCGCAGATAATCTGACAAAGCCATGGCAAAAGCGAATAAAATGCTTCGCAGAGCGCAACCTGATACGACCGCAGAGGTCGAACCTTGACCAGTTGGGGCAAGTTTGGACACAATATTCAAGCTTGATACTGTCTGAATTTGGATTGTGATAAAATTTTTGACATAATATAGGTTTCTGACACAAAATAAATGTGGTCAAAGAGCTTAAAAATTTGAAATGGGACATTCATTTTACCTAGAATGGTCTGATATCCAAAATCTAACAACATGGTTAGATTCAGCATATAAAAAAACACAAAAAAATTTAATTTTAGTTGAAATCAATCAAAAGTTTAATTTTGGACCCTTCAAACCTTAATATGGACTAATTTGAAAACAGGGCCCAAAATAAAAAATCTAAATACACAATAAGATTCAGCATATCATACAGCTGCAATCATTCAGTTTTTGATGAAATCAAACAAAGTTTAATTTTGGACCCTTTTGACCTCAATGTAGACCAATTTAAAAATGGGGCCCAATATCCAAAAAAGTAATACAAGGTAAGAACCCCCAAAAATTAAAGACTTTAAATGAATCCCATTGAAATTGGTTAAAAGATTTGTATTTATTTTTCAATTGAAGATTTCTTGCTATTGCGCAATACTGTGTAATTGAAGATTTCTTGCTATTGCGCAATACTGTGCTATTGTGCAATACTGTGCTATTGCGCAATACTGTGTTGTTGCGCAATACTGTGCAATTAAAGATTTCTTGCTTTTGCGCAATACTATGCAATTGAAGATTTCTTGCTATTGCCCAATACTGTGAAATTGCGCAATACTGTGCAATTGGAGATTTCTTGTTATTGCGCAATACTGTGCAATTGAAGATTAAAAAAACTTTGAAGAAAAAAAATATGAACCCCAAAAAATTGGGGAAAAAAATCCCCCCCCCCCCCCCCCCCCCCAGTACAATTTTAGAGAGATCCATATACTTACACACAAGTTATTGTCTGGAAACTAGAAAAAATGCAATGAAGTTTATTAAACTAAAGTTATTGGCAAATTTCCAATGAAATTCATTAAAAATAAAGTTTTTGGCAAATTTCCAATGAAGTTCATTAAACTAAAGTTATTGGCAAATTTCCAATGGAATTTTTTAATAATAAAGTTTTTGGCAAATTTCCAATATACATAATTTAAAAGCAGTTTAGGTGAGATAAACAAAAAAGCTCCATCAGCAACATTTTATATTGGCAAATTTCCAATGAAGTTCATTAAACTAAAGTACTTGGCAAATTTCCAATGGAATTTATTAATAATAAAGTTTTTGGCAAATTTCCAATATACATAATTTAAAAGCAGTTTAGGTGAGATATTCAAATGAGTTTCAATTACCAACCTTACACTGCCTTTTAAATTATGTTTTGTACTTAAGTAATTGTCCATTAACCTGGAAACCCTTTTCCCCCCTTTTTTGCACCTTATTCCTTAACGGTTTGAGCCATAACTCCCAAAGACAATTCTTACCATCCCTTTGTGGTATTCCAATATCCAAAATCTAAATCCATGGTTAGATTCAGCATATCAAAGAACCCCAAGAATTCAATTTTTGATGAAATCAAATAAAGTTCAATTTTGGACCCTTTAAACCTCAATGTGAACCAATTTGATAACCGGGCCCAAATATCAAAAATCTAAATATATGGTTAGATTCAGCATATCGAAGAACCCCTTATATTCAATTTTTGATGAAATCAAACAAAGTTTAATTTTGGACCCCGATTTGGACCAACTTGAATACTGGGCCCATAATAAAAAAACTAAGTACATGTTTAGATTCAGCATATCAAAGAACACCAAGAATTCATTTTTTGTTAAAATCAAACTGAGTTTAATTTTGGACCCTTTGGACCTTAATGTAGACCAATTTGAAAACAGGACCAAAAATTAAGAATCTAAATACACGGTTAGATTAGGCAATTACCCCCAAAATCAATCCCAGCCTTCCCTTTGTGGTATGGTACCTTGCAGTACAATTTCAGAGAGATCCATACACTTGAACACAAGTTATTGTCTGGAAACTAGAAAAATGCTTATTTTTGGACCCTTTTTAGCCCCTTATTCCTAAACGTTTTGGGCAATTACACCCAAACTCAATTCAAGCTTTCCCTTTGTGATATGGAACCTTGTAGTACAATTTCAGAAAGATCCATACACTTACACACAAGTTATTTTCATGAAACTGGAAAAATGCTTGTTTTTTGCCCCTTTTTTGGCCCCTAATTCCTAATATTTTTAAGCAATTACCCCCAAAATCAATCCCAGCATTCCCTGTGTGATATGGAACCTTGTGGTACAATGTCAGAGAGATTCATACACTAACACACAAGTTATGTCTGGAAGTTACAAAAATGCTTATTTTTGGCCCCTTTTTGGCCCCTAATTCCTTAACTGTTGGTACCATAACCCCCAAAATCAATCCCAACCTTCCTTTTGTGGTATTGAACCTTATGGTAAAATTTCATAGAGATTCATTCACTTAAACTAAAGTTAAAGTGCGAAAACCAATGTGTCTTCGGACGACGCCGGACGACGCCAACGTCATACCAATATACGACCGCAAAAATTTTTTGCGGTCGTATAAAAATGACAAACATGTATACAAAACACTATATGTAAAATTCAAGACTGAGCAAAGTGAAACCTCACTTTTAACCATGATTGATATAATGTGCTACAGAATAAGGGTTATCAGATCCAACTACATAGGTGACAGTTGCCATGTTACTCCGATAGAGTATATTTATAAGTCATATCAAGGGATAAGGCATCACACAATAGTGAATTGGTAACTGACCATTCAATAACCATAAGAAATGACCAAATTTGGAAACTATCGGTCATGTAAATTTTATGATTCCGAAACCTGACCAAATAAGACATTTAAAGTGAAATGCTTTTTCAGGACATTGAAAAAAGAAGGACATTGAAAAACAGTTGAATACAGTTAAATTTATTAGTATTATCATTATATCTATCAGTACTTATTGCATGCATTTAAAATAAATATATAAGCTGCAAAAAACACAAAACATGGTGGCATGGTGTTATTTAGATCGAGGAACCTGCTTGGAAGATTTGTTAATAATGTATTTTAATCAACCTTTAAGTCATTTACTTTTGAAGATGTACATTGTATATTTCAGTGTTCGTTCAGTGTATTTTACTTGTTTTTGTTTATATTTCTTTTTGATCGAGTTAAGCCATTTCAATTGATGTTTTATTGTGATCTTTTTATGTTGTAATGTTACCCTACTGTTAGGTTAGGGTGAAGGTTGGCGCCTGTTAAAACGTTTAAACCTGCTGCATTTGTATGCACCTGTCCTAAGTCAGGAGCCTGTTGTTCAGTGGTTATCGTTTGTTGGTATGGTTCATAAGTGTTTCTAGTACAAATGAAGATTACACCATTGGTTTTCCTGTTTGAATTGTTTTACACTAGACATTTTGGGGCTCGTTATAGCTTGTTGTTCGGGGTGAGCCAAGGCTCCGTGTTGAAGGCCGTATTTTGACCTATAATTGTTTACTTTTTACACATTGTGACTTGGATGGACAGTTGTCTCATTGGCACTCATACCACATCTTCTTATTTATATTTACAATCTTTTTATCCATCAAAAATAGTTAACCTGTGGATTGAAGTATCTTGGAAACTAATTTAACCATGGAAAAATAACATTGGCCGATGAACCATAACAATAAAGTACAGGAAAACTAAACATTGTCAGACTGATATGTACACATACAGTCATGCAATACACTAACTATAGTTGACCTCTGGCTTATAGCATCTTAGAAGCAGACCATACAACAAAAAGTGAATGTTCACTGAACCATGAAAATGCGATCAAGGACAATGGACTTTTGACATACGGAAACATCATAACATTAGGCATCAATTTACAAGGTATGAAGCATTCTGAAACATAAAGCTTAATACACACAGTTTATTGCATATAGTGAGGATCCCTATATCTAGCATTCTGGTTCGCAGGCATGACAATAAACTAAATCTCTATTTTAGAGTAATAACTCTTATAGAGAGAGATCTCCTTATAGAAGATAACTAATTTAACATGTTGTTTTGTTGATGATTGTTTTTTTTTATATATAAAAAGTTTATAAAAAACATGATTGAGTTACAATAGTCATTTAAGGGCTAGAAACTGATTTGTCTATTTTGAACCCGAAACTGTTCAATTTATGTACATGCATCTAAATTTGAATTTCCAATCCGATACAAATTCAATACATTTGATTTGAGGTGTAAAAAGTAAAATAACAAAAATAACGAACTCCGAGGAAAATTCTAAACAGAAAGTCCCTTTGAAGCAAATGGCAAAATCAAAAGCTCAAACACATCAAACAAATGGATAACAACTGTCATATTCCTGACTTGGTACAGGCATTTTCTTATGTAGTAATGGTGGATTTAACCTGGTTTTATAGCTAGCTAAACCTCTCACTTGTATGACAGTCGCATTAAATTCCATTATATTGACAACGATGTGTGAACAAAACAAACAGACACAACAGGCAAAAATGTCAAAAATAGGGGTACGTACAGCAGTCAACATTGTGTTATAATCTTAATCACTATAAAAATAATCAAATATGTATACAAAGAAAAACAAAGAAAAACAAAAAGGCATATGGAAAAAGCACATTAACAAAAACGAAAGACAAGAGTACAAAAATTTACCATAGCAAAATAACACAATGATGGGATGTATACATAAGTACCGAGCCACGTCAAATGGATATTACCAAAAATAGACTAAACAGTTAAAGTAATAATTTACAAAGAAAAATAAAAGATTACTATTACACGTTATTAAGATGATAAACAACATCGGTACCTATAATCTATACTTCAAGACCATCATGTATTATTTGTGAAGTTGATACGGAATATTTATCAACAAGGTCTTGGTATCTTCCGATGGACTTTTTTTAGAAAAAGGACGAGACGTTCTTTGACGTACCCCTGGTTCATGAACTTTCTTCTCAGTCTGAGTAGCAGCTCGAGCTGTGTCAGCTCAATTTGTGAAGGCGTTTACAAAACAAGTCTGTATAACAGTTGTTTTCACGAAATTTCAAAGTCCAAAGCATGTTTTTTTGGCAAAATCAGAGCAGCAGAACCAAACGTACACTCGATATGTTACTCATCATAATGGACTCACATACTAAAATTCACCTCAATATGTGAATGCGTTCAGAATTTTTTTTTCGTAAAACTGTCATTTTCACAAAATTTTGAAAGTCCAATTTTGACAAAAATCAGCGGAGCACAACCAAATATAAACTTGATCTGTAACTCATCAAAGTAGACTCACATACTAAAATTTAGCTCAATATGTGAAGGTATTTAGACAAAAAGTCTGTAGAACTGTTCGTTGCAGTATGACATAATGACGGAATAACGGACAAGGGTAAAGCTATATTGCACCAAAACTAAGTTGCCAGGGCCATAAAAACATGAATAAAAGGAATAATGTATCAGTATTATAGATTACTTACCATACATAAGGTATGTGTTGTTATCCTCAATTCTCTTAAGCCTTTGGCCAAATCTCCAAAACGTATTCCATTGTTCTCTCTCAAACCAATAAGTGTTAAAAACTTGACCATCTGTGTATTTCTTGGGTAATTTTCTACCATATCACTCCATTCTGTCTCTTCCATTTCAAGATGAAGAGCTAAATCATGTATCATGCGTGTCTCACAATTAACAGACAAACTTAGCAACTCTGTATTACTTGGAATGTGAGATAGTGCATCTTCACTCAAACCTTGAATTAATATATAAACATACAGCTTTAAAAACATATGAAATAATTGTACAGATATCAACTATGTGATACCAATCTGATTTATTATGTTATTTCAGTTTTACTTAAGCTTATAAATACTGCCAACTTACAGTATCATCAAATATCAGTGTTTTGTGTTGGGTATTGTCTGCCTTTTCCTTTGTTCATTGTCTGATAAACTTGCTCAGAGACATATATACTAAAGAGATTCGCGACTAGAAAATCTCGCCTACTTCACGCGTGTCAACTCATTCCCAGCATTCCCGAAAGAGATTTTTAAAACTATCGGAACACCTTGTACATTTTGTTTGTTTTCATGGAAAGCGACAAAAATGTTCTGAATAGTAAACAGCTATTCACATTGTATAGTCTCAGGTAAATATTTCTGACAACGTTTTTCTTTAGCATTAATTGAGGGGGTCCCACGATTCAATATTTTTTATAGCAAGTGATTGTTTTTTAGTAATAAACTATGTATTGTCAAAGATGTTAGCACCGGTATTCCCTGCATCTTTAAAGTGTACTTTTGATACATTATTATTTCATAATTCATGCTTCTCTTGTTTTGTTCATCATGTCCAAATCCGGTTTTTTCATCATGGGACGACGATTTAGATGTTTTGTTAGGGGAATACACAGATAATGATACAACTGTAGAACTGGCGATGATTTGGAATTTGTTCCACAGTCTGTTAAGAATCCCCCCCAAAAAAGTCAAAGGGGTTGACAAGACTTAAGTGCTTGTAGTAGTGCTGGAAACCAATGTCCTTATTCTGATAAGATTCTTAATTCTATTTCAGGGTTCCGTGCACACTTCAAGGCAACATGAAAAGAATTTAAAAGGTGAATTGAGAAATAAAAGAACAACTTCTAAAGAACCAATTAATCTTAAATAACAATTGAATTTTTAAAAATTGTGAAAACAGGGGAAAAAGATTAATAAAAGAAGATCCTTGATGTAGGGAAAATATTTAAAAAATAAAAATGATTAGAAATATCAAATATTCTATTGGACATATTTTTTCTATCAAAAATAAATTATTCCGAAAACGGTAAGAGAGACAAAAGAATCGTAAAGGTTCCGAGGAACCCAGTGTCTCGCCTACTTTTGCTGTTAGTCGCAGGCTCAACAAAATGGGGAAATAATTATTCAACATTTTCCTCTAGATACTATCTTTCGAATGTAAGAAGCTTCTGTTCAAGTTTGGTAAGAGTCCAGGATGGTTTATGAATCTAATAAATGTTTAAAAACTCTAACTGCAGACTGTATGTAATGTTAACTGGAAGAAAAACTAAGTCCATTTATAAGTAATATACGGAAAAACAGGAATTTTTTTTTTCAAAATTTCATTCTAGATACCAGCTTTTGATCATAAACAAGCTTCTGTCCAAGTTTGGTACAAATCCAGGATAGTTTAAGAAAGTTATTAAAATTTTGAAAACTTTAACCACAGAGTGAATGAAATATTAACTGACAGAAAAACTAAGTCCATTTATAAGTAAAATACGGAAAACAGGATTTTTTTTTATAACAAAATTTACTTTTGAAAACTATCTTATGATCATAAACAAGCTTCTGTCCAAGTATGGTACAAATCCAGGATAGTTCAAGAAAGTTATTAAAATTTGAAAAACTTTAACCACAGAGTGAATATTTGATGACGCCGCCGCCGACGCTGACGGAATGTAGGATCGCTATGTCTCGTTTTTGCGACACAAGTCACAGGTTCGACAAAAATACACCAGGTCAATTTATTTATAAAGACCTAAAATCTGATAAAACTTACTTATCAAAAAAAAAAAAAAAAAAAAATAGAAAATTATTCAGAGACTGGTAAACAATGGTATATGTTCTTCTTTTTTGGCAAACACATAAATGAAATCACTTTTCAGAAAAGTTGAATTTAATGCAATAAGCCTATTATATAAAAAAAGTCAGCTATATTTAAGTAAAACCAGAAACATATGAATTAGTAAAGTATATCTGTGCCCAAACATGTGCTCGACCCACTTTATAGTACATGTATATAATAAGTAGTGTTGATTTTTTGTTAATTTTTTCTTGTTCAGATTATGAATAAAGTTTTTCTCAGTGGAAATTATGATTAAGCAAACAACAATCAATCAATAAATAAATAAATAATTCAATGTGTATTACTTTTTTAGCAACAGATCACAGAACCAATAAGACAGCAGTAACAGAGAAAGAAAATATATCTTCAGTTGCCTAGATTCCATTAGATGAGGTATTTCCAAATGCATACCAGTCAACAATAGTAGCATTTGAAGATGATCCAATGATAACCATGTTTGATGAATCCACAAATTTTTTGTCAATGCTTCTTTGTGTAAAGTCAAAGCCAGAAGTTCAGGATGTCTTCCTCCAAACCTTTAGTGACATATTCAAAGACGATGCCAACATTTAAAATACTATTTTCACCGTGTTTGCCTAAGTGAATCATTACAGAAAGATGATGAGACCCTTACTCCTTCACTCATGCATCGTAAAAAACTTGCCCTTAGAAGTATACAGACTTCAAAAAAGACATCTAAGCATTCACAAAGTCTACGACAAGTGCTAAAGCCCAAAGTTATAAATTAAATAAACCGTTTATACCACTGGATTAACATCCAATTTCAGAATACTGAAAATAACACTTAAACAATGTAAATTCATGTGATTGGTCAAGCAATATTAAAGAAAACAGTATTTTTCCTTATACTAGATTAGTCATTCACTTAAATTCCTCATCATATTATATTACTTAAATTTGTTTCAATTCATGTCTGTATGTATAATGTCAATTTCCTTGTGATTAATATGCATATAGCTCTAACATGTCTAATAAACCAATTTGAAAATACATGTGTACACATGGATATAGTGTGAATACTGATCTTGGAGTATTTCTTTCTGGTGCATTCTGGTAATGGTAAACTGGTTTAATATGAAGAATAAAAGGAGAGGTGGGGGTATATGCAATCAGACAGCAATCAAACAACAACTTTAACAAGACAACTACTAAGTTTTCAACAAAAGACAAATTATGTCAAAAATTTAAAGATGTGATACTAACGTTTAACCTGAAAATTGCATTTACTTTTCAATTGACCAGCATGCAATGTATACTTGAACCTTTTGATGGAGAATCTGATAAAAATAGTGGCTCTCGCTCTGAACATGCATGAAATATTTGCCACTGGATATTAAGCAACTAACAACCAATCAACAATAGTGGCTAAAACTTTTCATATTAGACTTTGATGTACACATGTAAAAAAGGGAAACGGTATGATTGCTAATAAGACACACATCTATTTAAGTAAAATGATTAATGATGTGAATGTGAACAAGTAGACAACAGGCCATAGACATCCTATAGTATTGTATAAATAGTTATAACAAAGGACCGTGAGACGATACAACATTAAACACTATAAATTAGAAAACAAGTCCTCATTTATACTATAACTACAAACAAAAGTTTAGATGAATGGCTGATAAACCTTTTTTAAATAGTACCAACATAAGTTCAATAGGAACAGTCCATTCAGACCAAATAAAATGATATGTGTAGATCTGGTTACAATGCTGAGAAAAAAAAGCCTGGTAAAATTAGAAAGGGAAATTGTTTTATATGGATTTGTATTATAATTTATAGATCCTTGTAACATGATATATAGATGATCATGACTTTACAACAGCCATACATGCTTAATGCAAGGGATCACATTTTTAGTATTGTATTTCAAACCAATCCGGGTATCTCCACATATCATCTGATTTCTCTTCACTATTTATGATACTGTATACTGACAGCTTTGAATTTTACAAAGTGATAAACAGGTTAAACAAACAACTAGACTACTTTTCAAGTTATGTCATTCACCGGAAAAGTTCGTCATTTATGCGCGCCTTAATGACGTCATTTACCAGATAGGGGGGACCGCCTGTATCCCTGCACTATCAAAGATCATCAAGCGTCTTTATGATCGTCATTATGCAGGATAAACTAGAAATAATATTTATTCCATAGGTACTATATCACATTTCCCTAATGACAGCAGTGATGATTATCATTTATAAGAATTTACTTTCCCGACTAATTTGTTCTAAAATTGCCCGTATATAAATTTGGAAATTATATATAGAAACTAAGGTTTCAACTCCCTTAGGCAAAGTTGGCCTAAGATTGATTTGGCTATTGTTTTTAGGTCCTTTTTGGTTTATAGCTGTTCAACGTTTTCGGTACTTATACATCCTTGGCTTTCAAATATTCGGCTTTGAGCGTTCTTGATGAAGGTAAATCCAGAAAAGCACTTTGGACGCATTAAATTTATAACGTGTTTTCATTTTTTTGTGCAATATAGCATCATATTAATTATTTTTTTCAACAGATCGCTCAACATGGGAACGGAAGTGACGACGCCCCTAAACACATGAATGATGTTCACTAAAACCAAAGTTTTTTGACGGAAATGCAACAAACTCGAAGGTTGTCTATTTATTTATCATAGGGTATCATGATAGATACTTGGTGTTGTCTCAATTTCACATTGTCCTTGCAGTTGTTAATAAAATGCTCCGCTGGGCGCAGCTTGATATGACCGCAGAGGTCGAACCCTGAACAGTTGGGGCAAGTATGGACACAACATTCAAGCTTGATACAGCACTGAATTTGGATTGTGATTAAATATTTGACACAGCATAGGTTTCTGACACAGAATGAATGTGGTCTAAGAACTTAAATACTTTTAATTTACCTTTTCAAACCATATCATTATTATTTGCTTTTATTAATAAATCAGAAATAACCAATTTAAAATGGAAAATTTTAAAGAAAAAAAAAGGGAAAAAAAATCCCTCCCCCAAATTTTTTGAACCCCCTTATGATTCATCACCCCCAAACTCAATCCCAGCCTTCCCTTTATGGTATGGTACCTTGCAGTACAATTTCAAGAGATCCATACACTTGAAC